CTATAGCAGATTTTGCTACTGAGTTCCGTACTTTGGCATCAGAGGTTGTATGGAATAACGACTCTCTAGTAACCGCTTTCCAGGAGAGCTTAGCTGGATATATCTTACATAAGAGCATCTAGAGAATTGCCTATCTTACTCCAGGATCTCTGTATTGTCATAGATAATTGTATAAGGGAGAGACACACTTATAGAGAGACTCAAAGAAGGCTATACTCCTATCCAGTACCCAGTCTGCTATCTAAAGCCTTGCTCGCCTTACCACCTCCACCTCCACCACCAGAACCCATGCAATTAGGTGCCACTAAGTTAACAGAGGCTGAGAAATCCTGTAGACGAAAGGAGGGCTTATGTCTTTATTGCGGTAAAAGGGGACATTTGAGAAAGGAATGTCCTAGCCGTCCGGAAAACTCCTGCACCAAAGGCTTAGTCAGGGGTCAGCCTTCGATGTTATGCCATTATTCCCTTCTGCTAATACCAGTCATACTTGGAAAATGACCTTCAACACTCGCAGTAGGCATTACGAATACTTGGTGATGCCTTTTGGGTTATGCAATACCCCTGCAGTCTTTCAAGTTCTGATAAATAATGATGTTCTATGTGATATCTTATCCTTATGTGCTGTTGTCTAATTAGATGACATCCTCATTCATTCATCAGATCTTAAAACACACTTTCAACATGTTAGGATGTTACTTTAACATGGATTGCACTGTAAACTAGAGAAATGTCTCTTTGATCAGACTACAGTTCAGTTCCTCGGTTATGTCATCTCTGAAAAAGAATTCAGTATAAATCCTTCTAAATTAGAGGCCATTACGTCTTGGCCACTTCCTCAAGGACTTAAGGCTCTCCAAAGATTTATTGGGTTTTCAAATTATTATAGGAAATTTATAAAGAATTTCTCGTCTATAATAAGTCTCATAACAAAGATGACTAAGAAAGGAGAGAATCCCCATGTTTAGAATACCCTGAAGAAAGCGTGCCTTCAATACCCTGAAGAAAGCGTTTTCCAATCCCCCAGTATTACTTCATCCTGATCCGTCATTGCCCTTCATCTTAGAGGTAGGCGCGTCGGTATCTGGTGTGGGAGCAGTTCTGTCTCAGAGAAAGACCCCTAAAGAACCTCTGCATCCGTGTTTCTTTTACAAGAAACTATCGGATTCTGAAAAGAATTACATAGTATTAGCATTCAAGGAATGGAGACACTTGTTAGAAGGTTCTAAATATGCTATATTGGTAATTACTGATCACAAAAATCTCTCGTATATCGCTGAAGCTAAACGTATATCCTTCAGACAAGCTAGATGGTCCTTATTCTTATCTCATTTTCAGTACTCTATTACTTATAGACATGGTTATCGTAATGTTAAGGCAGACCATCTCTAGGCAATACAAACCATTATAGATAATCCCCACTATTCCTGAAACCATTGTTTCTTCTACTAATATCATTGCTGCTACTCGTCTTACTGTTTCTTCTCTGCTACTCGACAAAATTAAGCAGTATTAGACTCAGGCACCCCCTGATAAACATGTTGGTTTATTGTATGTAAAGGAAGTGATCTGAGAGGTGTTAACTTTATTTCATGATTCCAAAACTGCAGGTCATCGAGGTAGATTGCATGGAATACCGGTTGATATTGTCTCAGACAGGGGTCCTCAGTTCGCTTCCAGGTTCTGAAGGGGTTTCTGTGCAGAAATGGGTGTTTCTCTTTCCTTCTCCTCGGCTTATCACCCTCAGTCTAACGATGCTGCTTAAAGGGCGAATCAGTCCCTGGAACTGTACTTATGCTGATTTACTAATGAACTCAAAGATAATTGGTCTGGTCTTCTCCCGTGGGCTGAGTTTGCAAGAAATTCGGTTTGTCATGCCTCTACTAGCTTAAGTCCTTTTATGGTGGCTTATGGTGTTCAACCTAGCATCTATCCTGGTGTATTTTTGGAAAAGGGAAAATCTGCTTTGGATGCCCATCTTGCCACCTTGAGGGAGATGTGGAAGCAGGTCCAATCAGCCGTGTACCATGCAACTATGTCCCAGAAGAGATTCACTGATCGCCTTCAGGCTGGGGTGCCTACCTTTCCCATACCTTGTTGCCCTGTTGTGGTTTCTTGGTAGCTTAATAGCACGTTCCTTCTGTTTAGTTGTTTGGTACCTTGACTGGCTTTTGTCTCTCGTTTATCCTGCTCTCTGTAATCCTTGACCTCGGCTTGTTTAATCGTTATTCCTTACCTCTGTAATCCTCTGACCTCGGCTTGTATTCTGACTCTGTTTATTTGTATAACCCGGCCATTCTAAGGACCGTTATTACAAATATTCTTGTTTGGGATTCTGTCCATGTGTTCTGGTTCCCGGATTCCTGACACTCACAGTACAACAGGCCTCTATTTGGCATGGTGGTCTTGATTCTTCCAAAATGTCAAAATCCAAGCATTGTTTCTTTAGGAAGGTTGTTCTGAGTGGCTGAGTTCCATCAGAGTTTTCCAGTGGGAAAAAGACTTCTAAGTTTCAGGAGATTCTGAGCCAACATTGCAGATGCCAGGGAATGATCTGCTGTGATCACTGGCTATTGTCCACGGTTCTTAAACCATCCTCCAAGGGAAAGTTTTTTTGAACATCATCATTCATAAAGAGAAAGAAAAAGAGACATCCCGAAAGATTATAAATGGAACAAAGAAAGTGAAAGTGCACACAACATAAAATCCATTGATACTTTATATTGTGTGTGCCTTGACGTTGTTCTTTTACTTTTTGTTTTGTAAATTTCTATGTGATTAATTCACAGTTGATTATAGCTGTACTTGAATATGTTGGTTCACAATTAGTGTCTTTTCTTGAAATATTAAGTCTTGGACAAGATTAGATTGTTTTAGTACAAACTTTAAAGAAAAGAGAAGGCTACTTTGCCCAGTTGTTCCTGGTGAAGAAGCCCTCAGGCAAATGAAGGGCAGTTTTGGATTTGCATTTAATAATTACCCTCACATTCAGCATTTTTACACAGAGTCAGTTTTAAAACCTGTGTCAATCATCATAAGTATGTGATTTCTGTGGATTGCTGGAGTGCTTCATAGGCTCCTTCTGTTTTCAGGCATTACTAGTCATGAGCAGTATCATCTGGCCACAATATGGTCCCTCGTATCTTCAGAAAAATGCCGGTTACCCATGGTAGCAGACATTAGGAAACATGGAGTAATCATATTTCTGTACAGGAACATTTGCCTTGTGGTTACCAAAAAAAGACACACTCTGGCTCTACACAGAGATCCTGTTATCCAAGTCTCAATTTGTTTCGGTTTAAACCTGCCTATACCTTGAGCTGATACTTTATAAAACTGTTAAGTGGTTGGGATGGTGGGCCAATGGAATCAGAGACTTATTTCAACATTTTCCTCTGCTAGTTCAATGGAGAGCTAAGGAACCACTCAGGAAAATACAAATTCTAATCGGATGCTGTCATCACAAATGCAAAATGCAATCTGTGTGTTTGAGGATTAGAACAAAAATTGTTGTAAATCCAAGATGACCACTTTCACATATATTTGAGTAGCTTAACTAGGAAGGAAAAATGCAAGTTTTTGTAGCCTTCTCTATAAAAATAATATTTTACTAATTGTGTTTCTTTAAATACAATGATCCTATGCTAGTAGGGTCACCCAAAGCTCACTGTAGAATTTTATATATATAATTTACATTTTTTTTTACTCTAAATGCATTTCAAACTCAGGCGAAATGACCTGAACTGGAAAGTAGTAATTATACTTGAGATATCACTTTGAAAAAGAAGAAAGTGAAGAAAAGCTGAAAAGAAGAAAGTGATCTATATGTCACCAACACGTTTTTAAAATGGTTCAGTGGGTTTTTAAGACATTTTTAATTACAGATCTCAAGCTAACTGTTGTGGAAGTGAGACACTCACCTAACCCCCTCCTATCTCCTGATTTCTGCATTATTTAAGATAGAATTTACAATTATTTAAATAAGGCATCACACCTGCAAACTGACAGTACACAATTTCAGATACCTTGTATCTCTATTCCTGAGTCTAATGGTGGTCGCTTTATGTCTCAGGGTGTCATTTGTTTAGATGAGATCCCCTCTTGGAGGAACCCTATTTCATAACCTTGAGGAAGCAATGGTCCTTTTTTCATTCCAAATTTTGTTTTATTTTTAGTTGTGTTTGTGGTCTGTTTTAACTTCTCCATAGGCTTGCACTTAAAGGGACACTCTTAATGTCTTTACCAGGATTTCATTGGTACCAAACCACATTAAGATGTCAAAATAGTTTTGAGCATTTTGTCACAATTACCTTGGTCCAATGTGCAGAGGTGTACCTAGGTTGTCGGGCTGCCTTTAAAACCTTTTTGTTCGGGGAATTAAAAAAGCATACACTCACATTTACATACACACACATACATTCATTTACACAAACAAGTATTCATACAGAAACATGCTCAAATCCAAGTTCTCATATGTGTATATTCACACACATTCATATGCACACACATATTCATATGTACATACTCAGATTCATATATACACACATGATTACACACAAATACACCCTGTACACACAGTCATGTTCATATACACTTAGTGAAATGTATATACTCACACACATACATATTCACGGACACTCACATAAAGATTTGATTTTTATTTAGATCCCTGGTGTCTATTGGTTAGCGGCTGGGATCAGTCTATGCACTAATTACACAGCTCCCTGTAGCTCTGTACATACGCTGGGGTTAGGGAGAGGTTGGATCCTTTTTCCTACCATTAGTGGAGAGTGGAGAGGGAACTGTGCGACTTAGGGTGCTCTGTCACTCAGGGCGAACCTTTACTTTACTTTTATCCTTTGTAGCGCCGGTCTCCTCTCTGGCTGAAATCATCATAGGAAAGCAGAGGTGAAATATAGCAAGTAATTATAGTAGTGATTATAGCATTTACCCCATACCAATCGAGACTACATGTAGAGGTCAAACATAACTGACTTTATTGCAGCTGTACAGAGGTAAATATACCCACAGAGGGTCATTTCCATATAATAGGGTAATTAACCCTACACACAGTTCCTTTTCCCATAACTTCTTTTTTTTCTTGCTGTAAACAACCCACAGTCCTACCAAAACAAACAAACAAACAAACAAACAAACAAACATTCAGCTACATTATGTCCATATAATTCAAACAACATGAAACATCAAATGCCCCTTATAAAATTCCATGCCAAGCAGGAGGAATCCCTACACTGAAACCATTGGCCCATGACACGCACAGTGCTATAAACACCCACCAAACATTGTGATATACAGTATAAGGTAAAAAGGTGGGTGTTTACAGCACTGTGTGCACTTTGTGTTGGTTTATTTGTATTTTTGGGTGTGTGAGACACTTATTATATTTAGAGCAGCACATTCACTTTAGATGTTCTGCTGATCATTTATTGAAGCACCTTATAGCATTGTCTCTTGTTATTTATACTCTTCTGTGTTCATATGTTGCCATTTTCATTCTTTGGATATACCTTTACTGGTCTCTTGTCAACCTGGACTGGATAATGCAGTAGCTACGTATAATCACCAATAGCAACTATATGTGTGGCTGCCCAATCCCAGCGGGTTACTCTGGGCAATGAAGAATTTATCTGCATCCTAATCCCTTACATTGATTTACAACATTTGGTGTCCCAACACTTATTAAACTGACAAAATGATCTCTCTTTTTTTCTTTCACTATTTTGCTGTCTATTTATTACTTTTACTCTGTTAGTTTTCAAGTTACCTGTATGGATGTTGCATCATTTTAACCTTGTGCAACATATTGTACATGACAACTCTGGTTCCTTTCCTTGCTGCTGTATTGTTCTATTTATACTGCAGTCATGTTATGAAAAATATAATTAAAAAAAGGTACATCTGCCAAACTCAGAATTGACACTGTGCGATGTATTCACCAAATATGGAATAGTGCAGAATTGTCAAGGGAATTGCAAATGATATGCCGAAATAGCCAATTTGGAAAACTGTTAAACTCAGCATTTTTCTTTTCAGCTCAGTTATTTTGGGCTCAAATTTGCAATTCTCTTGTCAGTTCTCCAGTTTCATTTTTAGGGAAAAACCCAAGGCATTGATTGAACTTAAGATAAAGATTTCTTTAGATTTTTTTTTTTTTAATAAAATCAAACAGAAATATATATATATTTTTTTATCAGTTATGGAAGTTATTTTAATTCCCTCACTGAATTATGGTTTGGTAAATTTGGTACATCATATTCTTGAGTGTTCTGTTTAAAGTGAAAAAAAATATTTAGTTTTTTTAATGTGATACTTTCCTTTGTAACAAATATATTTTACATGTCATACACAGATAACAGCCACACATTTCAGTTTCCTTTATCATCTCTTTTCTTATAAAAAAATCACATATTTCTGTTCTCACTTGTGCTTTACCTACTGTATTTTAAATTATATATGTGCTGTACAAATGAATGAATAAATCAAACCAACTTCATTCTCTTGCCCAAATTATTTCTTTACGATCCCCGTCACCCTAATTCTCCATTCTTCATTACTTTTCAGTCGTCTGTTCCTATTCTTCAACCCTTAACTTTGTACGTACCGGCGATTGTCATTACTGTATGCATTGTCTCTTGTTTTTCATCCCTCCTCCCATATCTTCTCTGCCCATTCCTCCCCTACTTACCTCACACTCCTCCTATCGCTTGTTGTCTGCAGTTATCTGCCAGAGTTCTGTCTTTTTGAATTATCCTCAACCTGGTCCCATGGTCGTTGGTGGCTATATATAAGCAGCAGAATATGTCTGCCGGGCACATAAGTCTTCACATGGTCATCGCTCAATATCCCTAGAGTGGAAATGAAGTGCCACATTGAGCTGGGCATGTGTCCACAGGCGTAGGACTTCCAAAACAGATATTGCAGGGACACATTTGTGATTCACCCAGGGGCAAAACCAGGCAGCACCTTATCAGTGCCGCTCCTATGGTTGTGTTTCTATATCTATATTATCATATACATACTCCACACATCCTCTGTCTGTCTTCTGGGCTTGTTCTCACTGCTAATGCTTAAGGATGTGTTTTCCATTAAATGAGAAGGTTAATGATTTCAATTATGTAAAAGAGGGCAGCTAAATGCTTAGAAATTCCACCTTCTCCTCATGTCATGGGGTTGGGGGGGTGGAGAGGGGGCATGGGGGGGAGTAGTGTACACATGCTTTCTAACAATTAAAACAAGCAAAATAGTTAACCTGATCCTCTACAACAGACTAATACATATCACCTAATTAGTGAAAGCTAAACTTCTATTAATGAGTGCTAATAATCTATTCTTCAATCATTTTCGCCCTGCGTCTTTTGCAACATTATCACCAATAAGCTTAATATGGCCAGATTATATTTAAAAGCAACACGTGTGCTATACTGAGTGATGGTTGCTGGTTTTCATGGGATTTTCACCAAAAAAAAAGGCAAACTATAAGAAAAAGACTAGGTATCTTCAATAAATGTGTACAAATTAAGATTATAATGGTACCACATGGTTTAGATGCCAATTGAGCATTGTGATTAGTTGCCTATACCTGCATATTGATTATATTTGTTACATTTATATTCCTCTTCACGCAATGCGAATCCTGAAAGAAACCTCATTTAAAACTGTGTTGTGAGCTTCCCAAAACCGGGTTTATTTAGCTCGTTAAAGCAATACATTCCCACTAAATTGCAATAGTCCATACTAGGAGATAAACCACACTATCATAATCCTGGCACAAAATGAAAACATTCTCTTATTTATTTTTTATTAGAAACTGAAATGTGCAAACCTTGACAAAACACTGCACTTGTTGACCATTCTGTTAGATGTTGCTATAAACAATGATCAATGAAGAAGTCACTTCGATGGGTGCTACTTTGTGGCTGTGGTTCTGGGAGTAGGCGTTCATCACCTCGCAGTAGCATAAGACACAATGCCTTTCACAAAATTATATACAGAATATTTGTATAGACGTGATAAAGGCTTTGTTTGCAGGAAGAGGATGAGTGTTGAATTCAAATTTGACTCCTCGTAGACCAATGTATAACAGATAGTCCAATTTTTTTTTTAAATTATCAAATTCCATGCTGGAAGATATAGTAGAGAGAGAGAATCAGAAGAATGGATTGAAGTAGCTCTTAATGAAGAACTCAGGTGATTTGCTACAAGCAACCAGTTTTCCTTGGAAGAGAGAAAAGATTTAATGATTGCTACAGTCACCAATATGAATATGATGTGTTTTTTTTTTGTTTTCTTTTGTAATAACACAGTGCTTCTTTGCCTGCACAGTCAGAAAATCAATTTGTGCAGCAGAAATACTCCTAAAAGTTATGTGTGGCAGCTATAGTGCATTGTGTATGAATCAAAAGTAGAACACAATATTGAAACAAACTTAAAGGATTTGTGGCAATGTGACGCTGAAGTGGTTAAGGTGGTTGAAGTAAACATACGTAAGTACATACGTTTAAGTTTAAATTCACATTTATCCCGTCTCCATGGAAGGCACAGTTATAACTATTCATAGATTGGTACATGTAACATGTGAATTTTTGCTTGTGAACGCACATAATTCTTTTAGGGGTGAAGGTGTGGGGTGTGAACCTCAGTCACAAAGCTATGACACGATTTGCTGGTCCAATCAACCGTGTATATATATATATATATATATATATATATATATATATATATATAGAGACACCAAGGTCCTTGCACTCAGACTAACCCAGGAATTTCAATGCCGGGTGCACTTTAAGCCACAGCCAAAAATAATAGAATAATAAGAAAGGGCTTGCACTCACGGTCTTTTACGTAAAAAAGGTTTTCTTTATTAGGTGTTATTCCATAAAATCAACGTTTCAGCCCTCATCTGGGGCTTTCTTCAGGATCAACCCGTTAATATATATATATATAAAAGTATTAATTTAAAGGGCTTCAAGGTGTGTTTTATTATTTTATTTTTTTTTAATAAATGTAGCATTTTGCCAATAAACTTAGTTAACAGAAGAGTTGATACAGATACAATGTTTCAGTTTTCCTCTTCCTTTGCATTGTGTGCCCTGGCTGTGCCTGGACTGGACAGGATTTTAAAGGACCACTCTAGGCACCCAGACCACTTCAGCTTAATGAAGTGGTCTGGGTGCCAGGTCCAGCTAGGATTAACCCATTTTTTTTTTTTTATAAACATAGCAGTTTTAGAGAAACTGCTATGTTTACAAATGGGTTAATCCTTCCTCCAATTCCTCTAGCGGCTGTCTCATTGACAGCCGCTAGAGGTGCTTGCGTGATTCTCACTGTGAAAATCACAGTGAGAACACGCAAGCGTCCATAGGAAAGCATTGTAAATGCTTTCCTATGAGACCGGCTAAATGCGCGCGCAGCTCTTGCCGCGCGTGCGCATTCAGCCGAATGGGAGGAGAGGAGGAGGATCGGAGGAGGAGAGCTCCCCGCCCAGCGCTGGAAAAAGTTAAGTTTTTACCCCTTTCCCCTTTCCAGAGCCCGGCGGGAGTGGGTCCATGAGGGTGGGGGCACCCTCAGGGCACTATAGTGCCAGGAAAACGGGTATGTTTTCCTGGCACTATAGTGGTCCTTTAATGTCACTTACCAGATGTTTTAATATACATTTAAAAGAAAATACAAGTTCACAAAAAAAAACCACAAGTTGTAGATATCTTTCAATGTTTGATTTAATAGTGTAAATTCCAGAGAAGCGACTGCTATCCTTTAAAGTATCAACAATTTGAAGTAAATGTGATTAGCCATATGTAATGTTTTTTTTTAAATTTCATTATGAGTTGGTATATATCTTGCTGTACAAATAGAAAGCTCAGTTTGTATTATTTAAATCGTAACATCTGTGAGTCACTGGTTCCCTCTACTGGTAACTTTGTAAAACACATTCTCTTTATATAAAAAGTGACTCCCAGCAAATCTATAAGGTGATTTAAAGGGATATTGCAGGGTGTATTTACCACCTTTTTCTATATTTTTTTTCTTTTTAAGTAAATCCTAAAGTACCGCTCTTTCTGATAAATACAAAAATAAGTGTGCCAGTCCACCTCCCATAGCTTTCTGTGATAAAGGTGTAAAGAATGTTCAATTCAACTTGCAGTTCCTCTTTAAAACTTGCAGCCATGCTGTATATTTATTATGGTATCTCCAGTTTAAGATAAGGGATAGAGCTGTAACACAAGAAATGTTTGTTTCAGGAATGTATTTTTGCATAAGCCTTTATTACATGCATGCAAACACTTAAAACTAGACCCAGGGCCGGATATACTTAGGGGCTGATGGAGCTGCAGCTCCAGGCCCAGGCCCAGGCCCATGGAATATGCCCATTGATTTTGAAGAAAAAAAAAAATATATATATATTTTTTCTTTCTTTTCTTTTTTTTTTTTAACACATTACTCTTAGGGTTGCCACCTGGCTGGTATTTTATGGTATTTGAGGCTACCTGGCCAGTGCCAGTTTATGCAGTAAAACCGGCAATACAAATGCCGGCATATTTCTATGTATAAACAGAGATTACTCTGCAATACCTGTGCAGAGTAGGGGTCATTGTGTGTGGAGAGAGGCAGGGATAGGAAGTTAAAGCATATCCCTGCCTCTCTCTACACACTGATCCGTGGGGGAGCAGCTACACATCATAGAGAGTGCAGACAGCAGCTCCCAGCCTGCAGAGACAGCCTACAGCTCAGGGAAGTGAGGAATGGGGTAAAGGCTGCAGGGAGACATGTGGACACTGGGAGACACTAGGGGACACTGGGTGACCTGGGAACACTGAGACACTTGTGGACACTGGAATATCAGGGGACACTGAAACACTATGGGATGCTGTGAGACACTAGGCACTTGGAGACACCGTGAGACATGGGGACACTGTGCCCTAGCGTCTGTGTCCCCAGTGTCTCAGTGTCCCAATGTCGCAGTGTTCCCATGTCTCTTAAGTGTCCCCTCGTGTCCAAGTGACACTGGGCAACATGGGGACACAAGGGGACACTGGGAGACATGGGGCACTGAAACATTGAGACACTGGGATACATAGAAGACACAGAGACATGGGCACATGATGGGACACTGGGACACATGGGGCACTGAAACACTGTGATACAGTGTGACACAGACATTAGGGGATACTGGGAAACATGAGGACACTGGAAGACTAAGGGACACTAAGACACTGGGAGACAGGGTGACACTAGTAACAATCCATCTTTTACTCAGCAGAATAAATGAGTAGTTTTTTTGGTGATTTTACAGAATTTTCTCTTATGTCACTCATTGTGATTTACACGCATACATAATTCATTATGCAAATTAGTAAGGCCGGTATTTTTTTTCCAAGAAAGGTGGCAACCCTAACTATCCTTCACATACTCTTGCTTAAGTATGGAAACGTTAGAGGGATGTATGGGAACAAAACTTGTGTGGACTGGCTGACAAAATTAATTAAGGTAAAGCTGACTTTGTGCACAATGCAAACGATCTTGCTGCTTCAGTCTCTCTAACACTGTGACATGTTCCTTTTCTTCTACACTCACTATATGCAGCTGTTCTCTGTCCCAGACTATATACCAGGAGCTTCTGCCTGCTAGTAAGGAGGTTAGGAGAGGAATGGACCAGCAAGTGCTAGGGGACAGTCCTTAGAAAGGGTGGAGCGAACTCATCGCTAGACATATTTATGCCAAGCTCAGGGTGCTGTCTGCATAGTTTTCCCTTAGTTGGCCAGCCTGCATGATTGGCAGGCAGCTTGACATGCATTCATGCCAGGCTGACCTTCTTTAGGCAGACATGCCCGCTTTTTAAGGTATGTTCGCCTCTTTCGGCAGTTCTGGTTACATGATTTGTGTCAGTGGCCCACTCTTTTACCCAGTCCTGCTTCACTGGACACTACTGTTAGGGGTATGGATTTACTTAATAGATGAAAGCATAAATTAGAGAGATTAGCATAGTGTGTGTGTTTTCTCATAGCTGCACTTATGAATTTCCCTCCAGCACCACTTCTGCCAGATACATGATACGATTGGTAGGTATGACTGTTTTAGTGTTTTTGATCGATAAGATTCTGTAATTATAATAGTCAGCACCAGGCCCACTGGGCTCTTAATCTGGCCCTGCCCAGACCACTTCATCTCATTGAAGTGCTATAGGAGCAATATCCCTGTTCTTTAACCATGCAGAGAAACTGCAATATTTACATTTTTGTATTCCTTTTTATTAACATTCTGCCAGCTGTATGGATAAATCAGCCGAGGGAAGAATAAAGGCAGACAGAAATATCAATACAGAGTATTTACACCCCCTGGCTGTGTAAATATAGATGTGCCTGTAAGGTGTTTATCAACTTTAACCACAGGCATTGGTGGATGCTAGGTTCTTACTAGCCACCATGGCTAGAATGTGCAACAACAGATTTTGTACATTGGGCAAGGTGCAAGAGATAGAAGAAGAGGTAAGGTTGGACTATGCTACAAGATGGAACATGATTGAACTCAAGAAAGCTGAGCAGAACTGGCTAGGTGATAAATACTGTGAAAAATGGCAAAACAGAATATGGATAGTATCAATATTGGGTCTAACTTTTAATAAAGTAGTATTAGACTGAAACACTTACTTTATGTTTTGCTCTTTTTCCTGTTGTGAAAGTTGTTTGTATTTTATTTATATTTCATTTATTTTATATTTTTCCACCTTTTGGGTCCCTGAAGTTTAATTTAGGGGACAAAATGCCTGGGACCACCCACTTATCTTTAGTTGTTTATACTAAATTAGAAACATAGAATGTTATGGCAGGTAAAACCCATTCGGCCCATCTAGTCTGCCCAATTTTCGAAATACTTTAATCCCTGGCCCTATGCCTTTTCCACACATGCTTAAACTCCCTCACTGTGTTAACCTCTGCCACTTCAGCTGGAAGGCTATTCCATGGGTCTACTACCCTCTCTGTAAAGTAATACTTCCTGAAATTATTTTTAAACCTTTCCCTCTCTAATTTACCTCTTGTTGTGGTAGTTCTTCTTTTAAATATAGTCTCCTCCTTTACTGGGTTTGATTCCATTGATGTAATTACAGCACACTCCTGTCTTGCCGCGAACAGAAGCAGGCGTTCGTACGTTTTCACCAGTGTTCAGGCTGTCGAGTGGCCGCCTCAGAGTTCCAGGCACTCGACGACTAAGTCCCGCTGCCTGCTTTCGTGCGACAAGATGGCCACCGTTTTCTCCACCACGTGGCTTTCAGTTAAATAAATGGCGGCCACACAAAGAGAGCACTGAATTCCTGGGGCCTGTTTGGTACTTAGTCTCTTCGGATGAATGTGTAACAAAATCTTAACAAAATGCCCGAACGGAGTAGAATGACTCTGCGGAAAGCAAAATAGGGATTTTGTCACAACTTTGTTGAGGTAACATCAATGTCATCCAGGGGCTGGGTTTCCCGATATGCTCTCTTGATGCAGAAACCTTTTTCATAATACATTTTACATGGAGCACTATGTTATTCTCTTGTCTTTATACGTGCATTGCAGTATTACATTTTTTCCAAAGGGTTTATGTATATATAGATCTAGGAACTTTTTAGATGGAAGATTCTTCAGCCACATTTGTTTTTGGAAGTGGCGCTCTATTTCTAAATTCTTTCAGTTTATTTATTTTTTTTTTTTAGACATTTAAGGGGTTACTCCAAGCATCATAACCATTACAGCCTGCTGTGGTGGTCATGATGTAAGAAATACCCTAGCTTGGTGCCCCAGTAATAGGACAAACCGTTGAGCAGCAGTTAGCCCTCGTACCTGGATCCCTGCTGTGCTGCACAGCTCCCTGGTGGTTTGGTGATGCACTAATGACAAAGTGGCATAAGCTGGAAAGATGCCATTGCCTGAGAACGTCAGCTGACCGTTCTCAGCCAATGAATGAAATTCTGCACAATGAAAATTGCACACAAACAACATTAGCCAGCCTGGAACTCAGGTTAACACTCCAATAACATTGCCAGAGGAAGAGTTACAACTGACAGCAGAGATGTTCAACTCCGTTTCAGCATTTCATTACTGAAACACTGTACATACAAACTTCAGGCACCACGACCACTACAAAAATCAATTAAGTCACCATTGTGCTTTGAGTAGGCCTTTAAGGCAGGAGTGTCCAAGTTTTTTTTCTGCAGTGGGCCACTTCATCAGAAATGTGTACATGAGCCACACTCCTTTTTAATTGAGAGAAAAATATCACATGCTGACATATGCACCCTGACATACCCGCAGATACACACAATCACACACATACAGATAGACACACTAGCACACATACACAGAATGACACATTTAGATAGAGTGACACTCATACAGATACACAGGGACACACACAAAGCAGTAAAAATAAAATTATAAATTAACAATACAAATTGCAATATGTCAAAACCAGTAAATAATACTTACTGGTAGCACCCACTAGAATATACTGTTAATGTCACCTCAATGGTGCCTCTCCTGATAGTGTTGGGGGGCTTCTCTCCCTCTGTAGATGTCTCTCTGCTGGAACCATGATAGAACAGGAACCATAGCCACAAATACCAGAAAAGGAAAGTAATTGCTTTTCTTTGCAAACAAATATAAAATATAATAAAAACTATATCAAATGAAGAATAAGATATGGTCCTACACATTTCGTTCAATATAAATAGACTTCCTCATGGACCTTATGATATTGTAACAATGATAAATAAATATAAAATCAAAACCATTCCCAAATAGGAAAAAGCAATCTAGCCTTCTCCCTAGTCCTGGTTTATATAGGGCTGGTCCCATTGGTGGTCCAGTGGGCGTTATTCTTTCTCAGCCGTTTTCTCTTATAAATTAAATTCCCCAGTCTTTCACTTCCTTGATCATAGTGTGATGTAATTTTCGAAGTCCCAGACCTCCTATTGTTATTCCCTATCTTGTAGGGGTCTGGGAGACTCCACCTAAGGACTTTAATAAATGGAACACACACTGACAAGCAGACAGACATATAAAACACAGACAAACAAACATGCAAAATGCAGATATATTTTTTTTAGCCACTGTCCTGTTTTCTAACTTTTGGATGGAAGGACTTGCTTCCCTGGGGTCCAGCGGCTGGCTGAGGCTGTTGGAAGTCTGTGCCCGTCTTCTCCTGCTAACGCAGGAAGTGACCAATTGTCACTTTTTCCCGATGCTAACATCACAGGGGCTTAATCAATGTTAAATGGTTGCGGTGCCAACTGGATCCCAGAAGAGACAGTGTCATTGGGTGGCTGTAAGTGCATGGGCCACCCAATGGGCCGTCTCAGAACAGCCCCGAAGTGGCATGCACCTCGAGGTCTGGTTGGATGCCTAGGTTTTAAGGACTGAAGGAAAGGTCTTTAGCAGTCTTACATTTCTTACCTTTAGATTAAATATCACTCAGGCAAGAGCTGACAGTATGGACATCCTGATAGCTGAACTTTAGCTTACAACCAGTTAGAGAACTGGAAATCAAATGCTCTAAGACATAGGTAGGCAACTTTTGGCAGATGTTGTGGACTACATTTAATGCTCTTACAGCCAGATGTAGTACACAACACATCTGGAGTGCTGAAGATGCTCTAGGACGAGGATCTATAGAGGGGCACAAAAGGAAGAAGAGACAAACTGCCCCCAACGCATAGTGAAACAGTCCGTGAGAACAGATTCCTGCATGAAACTATCTTTAAACTTCGTTCCAGTTGCACTCTTTGTAATTTTTGCATAACAGTACACATAACATACGGGACTATATAAAAAAAAAAAAAAAAGGAAAAAAAACACACTTGGTGGAAAAGGGAGCACTTACATCCAATGACAAAGAAAAGCAAAATTGATTTCTCTAGATAACACTAACTGATCTAGGGAGAAATCAGGGCCTTTTATATGGTAGTGGATAGTGAATTCGGAGGTTCTGAAAGAGGTTTGCCTATCAACATGTACACACGATATATGAAGTCTACACATACTTAACGCATATAAAAAAGACACTTTATTACACAAAAATACATACAAAGCCAATCCCTTTTCCCACTCTATTGAAAACTTTCCTTTTCTATCTCCGACTCAACCTTCGATTCAGCTCAGCAATTTTTTCACGCTTTCTCTCAGCGCTACGATCAAACGCCTTCTCCAAACTGTCATGGTATTTCTCCAGAGCAGCTCTGAAATCCTTAATTACCTCCTGGGAGGGTGATAATATAATATAAAACAGAGCGAGGAGGAAAAAAAAAAAAATAGAATGAACTCAAAATAGGAACTGGGAATAGAATAAATAGAAAAGGCAACTCCAGAAACCTATACAGCTAAAGTCATAAATGGTAAAAAGTCTAGAACTAGAAACAGTGGTTTAGAACCCACAAGTGTTTGATTAAGCAACCCTGCACGAAAACAAAATTAAAATCTTTGCATGATTTGTAAAATGACTTGTTTCTGCACAACTGTGACAATATATTGAATTTACAGGCAAGTGGTTGTTTCTCAGGATTTTTTTAATGTTTACTAATCCTTATATTTAACAAATAATTATTTCTGCTTTTGCTCCCACACAATAATATATTGTTATACTAATGTTTTAGATAATTGGCCTCCCCCTCCCAAAATATAGATCACTCAGCTTTACTTAAGCTCTAGCGGAGATCATTAATTTTAATATTAATCTTTTCCATAGGGAGGCAAGTGTTCATGCACAACAAGTCACTGTGCTGATCTCCTTAGAGATGCATTGATTCAATGTAGCTCTGTGGGGAGCAACCAGAGACTCCATGAAGAGTATGCATACACTGAATGTCTGTCTTGCAATCATTGCAGGACCAAACCCAGGAAATCCTTCTAGTGGCTGTCTGAATGTTCATTGTAAACACTGACTTTTCTCTGAAGGGGTTCTGGTATGTATAGTGCCCCTATAGGACACTAGCTTCCTTAAAGTACTTATCAGTTTAACACTAGATATACATGGCATTTCTCTTTAAAGCATTGCATATATATGGCATTTCTATAGTCACCAGAACCACTACAGCTTATTGCATTTGTTCTGGTGAGTAGAATCAGAGTATGCAGCACTGCCATTCAGTGTCTCCATCCTCTGCATGCAGACACTGCATTTTCCTCAGAGATGCATTGATTCAATTCATCTCTATGAGGAGATGCTGATTGGCCAGGACTGTTTGACTTGTGCTGGTTCTGCCCCCTTGACAGTATCAACCAATCCTATGGGGAAGCATTGAGATTGGCTCAGACCACCACTTTTGATGATGTCAGCAGACAGAGGCAGTTCACATGAGCTGCAGACTTGAATACAAGTAAGATTTTACTATATTTAGGGAGGCAAGAGTGGCCCAGGTGGTCGTTTTAACACCATAGGGTCAGGGATACATATTTGTGTTCCTGACCCTATAGTGCTCCTTTAATTTAATATGTTGCCTTTTTTCTATATCCACAGTTTCCAGAGCTTCTGTCACTTCCCTGAAATTTTTATATTATGTTTACTTATACTGACATTTACCAAATTTATATTTGTGAAGTGTGAAAAATACAATTAAATGTAGAAATCCACACCTCTTTATCCTGCAACTGTGTATCACCATCTTGGCTATTTGCCAATTATTGTTAGAAGTTCTGTCCTTATAACAATTTCTCTGTCCGTCCACACAGAGAAAGCAGACAGAAGAAATTGAACAAAGTTTCTATACCGCCTCTTTGCTTGCCCTGGCTTTGCCTAAACTGAACTTGATTGTGAAGCAATTTGCTAAAGCTTTAAAATTAAATGCAAGATTTCATTGCTGTATATTCCAGAAAAGTGAGTTACCCTTTAAGTTGAATCTGCAGGTTTGATAAATGACATAACGCACAACACATGCAGTTGAAATATACACACAAGGTTTGCCACCCGATATTGTTGAAACAAATCATAGCATTAAAGGGATCCTATAGTGCCAGGAAAACAAAGGTGTTTTCCTGGCACGATAGGGTTCATAGGCCCCCCATCCCTCCTGCCCACCATTTTACGTTGCTGATGGGGGTTAAATCCCCTTCAGCCACTTACCTGAATCCAGCGTCCATGTTCCTTGACGCTGGGTTAGGCGCCGGCAGGGGAGACCTAATGCGAATGTGCGCGCGCATTAGACCTCCCCATACGAAAGCATTATTCAATGCAGAGCGTGAGGGCGCCCAGCTTCAGATAACGGACATAAAGTAAGTTTGGATTCCGGAATTTGAATTTCTCTGGATCTGTAATGTTTTACATTGCAGACCAGCTGAAGTGGTCTGGGTGCCTACAGTGTCCCTTTAAGGTGCCTGCAATGCAATCCAAAAATATATGGGAAGACTTGGGGGGAAGAGGATTATGAACTTACTTGATATTTCTTTTTTTCTTCATCAGCCATTTCAAGTAGTTCCTCTTTTTTGCTGCTTTTTTGCTGGATTTCTTGAAGGACTTGAGCCACGCGACCATGTACAGCCTGTCTCTTCTCCTGGATGTGACTGCAGACCCTATCGAGGAACAAAAATGCAATATAACACACACACAATAGGATTTAAAGTGCTATGATATTAACCGGACCATAAAAGTTACTAAAAACCTTAAAGGTTCATGGCACACTTAGGCCAAAAATGGCTAGTGGAAATTTTGAACCCCATTTCTATACCATACGTAAAATAAAATATTCTGAAACTAAAGGGTTAAGCGGTTTATACATACAGATCCTAGAGATGGCGTTATATTTCTCTGACACACGTTTTGCCATTAAGCATCTTTTATAGTATATTATATCAGTATCCGAGAAATATCACACGATCTGACCATTATTTAGGCAGATCATGTTCTAGAATAACATACCGCACAGATGACGAAATTATCCTTTCAATAAACTTTTGGTCTCATGCTTTATTGGTATGTCTTGATGGCATCGCTATGAGGTCTAAAATGTTTTGTCTTGTATATAAAACATATACATGTTTAAAGGTGAATAATCAAAATTAAAAACACTTTCATACATGCTTTTACACATAATACATACATTGACACAGGATCAAGAATACTTTCATACATATCAGATTTAGATGAGAGAAGAAGAAAAAAAAAAAAAAAAAAAAGCTGTGTTTTGGCCAACATCATTGCCCTTCACTGGAGGGGGAGGGTTGTCAGAGGATGGAGGGGGTAGGGAAATGCCGACATTGAACATCAGATGCCAATTATACATAGAATTTTGCTTTGACACTGCCAGAGATGAAGTTACGCATAGAAGGGGTTAATTTCTGTATGTGCAGGGTTTCAAAACGAAATGCTGCACATACAAACTCCAGGCACCATGACTACTTCAAAACTATTTAATACACACATACAATGGCCAATTGGCTACTTTCAGCGCTACCATCCTATTATTAGTATTAGATTGTTTGGCTTATGATCCTGCCAATGTAAAGGGAACTGCATACATGATGTAGAATATACGGATTAAAATAAACTACTTACTCTAGAATCTCCTGCTTCTGCTGATTAAAATCTTCCTGTTTCTTCTTATTTTTGATGTCCAGTTTTGCAAGCTTCTCTTTCTTGAGCAAAAGTGTTCTTTTGAGCTGAGCATCCTCGTTTGAGAAGGATTTTAGCTCCAGGTTTACATTGACAACCTGCTCTTCCATCTGTCTGGTCTAGGAGAGGCCACCAATTAACATGTTAAAACTTTGCAGAAGCAATTTCATATAGATCAGTATTTCTATGCAGCAACACTATAATGTACAGTTGTCATACCTCTTCACGAATTTTTCTGCACATTTCTAGGTTGGCGTCGATATTCTGTAGTTTCTTGATATATCCCTGCATGGCAACCTGCCACTGACTAGCCAGAGATAATTTTTCCCTGTAGTAATCACATTTCTCACCTGTCTCTTGCTGTTAAACACAAAAGAAATAATGCTTAAAGCTCTGTCCTTTGCTCCTGACAGTAAGAATAGAGAAAGCACACAGAAGAGAAGAAACGAAACACGGTATCCATCCTCCCCCCCGCCCCCCTTCGCAATCTTGATTGCCACTAGAGGTGCTTCCTGGGTCAGTACTGTACAATGTGCAGCGTCTCCAACTTGCATGGAGGCACTGAATATTCCTCATAGAGATGCATTGAATCAATGGATCTCAATGTGGAGATGCTGAATGGCGCAGCGCAGCATTTTTCAGCTCGTGCATATTAGCCTACCAATGCTTTCTTGTGGGAAAGCACTGGATGAGTGTCAATGTTGATGACCTGATTCAAGGAGGCGGAGTCAGCCGCGGCAGATCTGGACGGTGCTGGAATAAAGGGGAGTTTTAAAGGAGGGCAAGTCACCTAAAATGTGTTAACACTATAGTGACCGGGTTTGTATTCCTGTCATTATACGGTTTCTTTACTATAAAATTTAAGAAAAAACATAGCACCTCAAAATTTTTTTTAAAATTTTTACATGAATAATAAGTGATTTTCAATGTTTTACTAAATGATGCCAATTAATTGGAGACCACAAATAAATAATGGGGAGGTGGGAAAAAAATAAATCCCACACCTTTCTTGATAAAGGCCAAAACATCAGTGTTGGGTAAGGTAGAATCTGCCACCTTGTAATTTTTTATGTTAAATACTTTTATGTATCAATTGCTTTTGATTAAAGAACTGCAGAGCACTATACTATAGTCTTTTTTGGATTTTTTTAAAATCCAATGAAGATTTTGTTATATTTGTTTATAGCAATGTAAGAGAGGTGGGACCATTATAAATTAGGGACACAAAATCCGCAGAGAAAGCCTCCCGTTTCAGCTTTTTGCCGAATCTGCTAAAGAGATCTTAACACCTGAGCTCAATTTTGCTCCAATGCAAGCAAAGTGCAATACAAGCTATTAAACTCAAACTTTGTGTACCCTTGATTGTTTCAGCTTGTGCACAGTTTCCTTCATCCTCTCAGTTTTACTTTTCCGTTGTTCTGGAGATTCCACAATCTGAGATTTCATGCGCTCTTGTTCTTCCTTCATAGTAGCAATTGCCAGTTTATGTTGGTTCTGAATGCAAAAGAAAAGTAAATCAAGAATTAACAATATATCTTGCTAAATTCACAGATCCTGCAAATTCCTTGATCTTGCTTGTGTTTGGGACAGGAGCAGGTGGGGAAAGTAATCAGACACTGATACACCCCTTGTACACAGAGACCACAAACACAACAAACCCATCTCTCCTCAATTCAAACAGACTCAACTCTACCAGATGAGAGTCTTGGCACTTACCAATTTTTTGTTCTTTTCAGTGAAATCTGCCTTTTGCTGTGAAATTTTTTCTTGAAAAGCGATCTAAGGAGGAAAAAAAAAAAAAATATATAAATCGTTCGAAACAATAGAAGATAGTCCTTTGCTATATGTAATCAGAAATAGTTTCGTATACAGTCAGAGCATTTTGGTTGATTTTAACCCATGAATGACATACCACGATGGTCTTGATAGTGCCGCTTTAAGAGACACACTGTCATAACAAACCTACCTTTCCCCAATCACTTCCTCTTCTCTCAGGATATGTTCTTCATTTCTTCCTGTCTGCTCTACTTTTCATTAAAACACAAGACAAAAGTAGGGACTATTTTGTCCTATGTATTTTTCCTGCGATTGACCAGTTTTGACCCAGGGGAAGAAGCAAAGTCCGCTCCATTTCCTGTGGTCAAATCAATTTTGCGTTTGAACGCCGGCGAAAGTATCGTATTTCACCCTAACTGAACAGTTTGTCCATTCGTGTTAGGACACACGTCGGGAGATTTTGTTCGGATCGAATTTTATTTGAATTAATGAAACTGATCCTATTCGTGCCGTGAGTAGATAGCTCCCTAATACCGTGGGAATTAGGGAGCTATCTACTAAAAGGCTGAAATCCTTAATTGGTGACCTATTGTGTGTCCCCCCGCCCCAACCCACGAGCAGTGTGTAGAGGCCTAAAATGACAATAGGGGAGGGGCCTATTTCCACCCCCCACCCATGGGCAGTACAATAGGGGGAGACCTATTGTCCCCCCAGCCTCCACCCATGGGCAGCAGCTAAATGTAAAAGTAACCCCTTACTCCCTCCCCTCACAAGGTGACTATGGGTCCCCAAGACCCCAGTCACCCCCTCAAATAAAATGTATTCCTTCTTATCCCTCTCACTCTAAAAAATAGTGAGGGGGGAATAAAAAAATTCAATGGTAAGGATGTTTAGTTTAGTGGCATCACGTGGATTTTTTTTTTTTTTTTTTTTTAAAGGTGTCCCACTAAGGGGCACTTTATTAGAATGTTGAGCAGCCACTGTTTAGTAGACTAGCGGTAGAGAGTAGGGGCAGAATAAAGATTGAAATCTCCCTTAATTACTAATACTAAGTAATCTTTACTTCGTATTTGTAAAGTTGTCTGAAAGACCAATTTAGGTCTTTCAGCCTTTTAGTAGATAGTTCCCCAATACCGTGGGAATTAGGGAGCCATCTACTCGCGGCACGAATAGGATCGGAGTTTCATTCATTCGAATTAAATTCAGATCTGAACAAAAACTCTGCACTCCCGAATTGCGTCCTAACACGAATGGACAAACTGTTCTGTTAGGTAGGCGTTCGAACTCTGAATGAAGCAGCAGGAGGAAGGTGAGAATTGTGGGGGGAAAAAAAGCTGGTCAAGAGTAGGGAAAAAAAAAAAAAAGGAAAGAAAAGGAGGGGAAGTGAAAGATCGGCATGACAGTGCCGCTTTAAAGGGACACTATAGGCACCCAAGACACGTCATCTCATTGAATTAATCTGGGTGCAGTGTCCCTGTTACCTTAACCCGGCAATAGGAAAGCATTGATATGAGGAAGGCCTATTCCCCTTGCGCTGAGGAGGCAGAGACCAAAAGTGAAAAAAAAAAAAAAATTAAAAAAAAAAGGGAGGTTTTAACACTCAGTAGGGGAGAAGGACACTTTAGTGTTAGGAATACAGCAGATTGGCTGAGAGCTGTCAGCTGACTCTCAGCCAGTGACTCCCCATTCACAAAACTGGCTTGGAAAGAAAAGTACCATTTCAATGCCAGTTTAGTGTATGGGGATTCACTGATTGGCTGAGAGCGTCAGCTGACCACTTTTAGTGGCGCCCCTGCCAGCGGCATTTCACACTTCCTGTAATAAAAATTTAAAAGCCAGATGCAATTAGGGGAGGAGAGAAGACCCGCACTGGAACAACTTAGTGGTTAAACAGTTTAAGAACGGTTTAACCTCTTGATGTACAAGTGCCTCAAGGGGCCTGCTGCCACCAGAACTTCATTTATATGAAGTTGTTTGGGTGCCAGGAATGTCCCCTGAAGTTTTTGTTACAACATTTTTAACATTTCTTAACTAAACTGGACTTCATGCAACTAATGGGCACCATTAGGCAGCTTTGCATTGAAGCATTACTTTTCTTCATTTCTGTGCTGTGTAATGCAGGGTGCGCCTCATTTCAACTGTGAGCATAAGTTTCAAAATTTGATTAGCAGGTGACATTACATTCTCACAGTAGATTTTTTTTTTCCGGCAGTATTAATCCTCCGTGGTTTCTGAGGAATTTGATTTTGTGTGAGAGCTCAATACCATATAAATTAAAATATTTTAAAATAATGTCCTCTTCAATTGTAAATAAAAGCCATACCTTTATTGCTGTTAGTAGGTATATTGACTCAAAATTCCCACCCTCCACTCGCAAGCAGAAATGTATCCATGGTAAGTGTGCCATTTATCCTCAAGGCCTGCAGTGGCAAGCATCTTTAAAAGGTTACTCCAACCCTTTTTAATCAAACTTTAAATGAAGAATGCCCAATCAGGCATTATTCACCAGAGTCCCCAGTTATAGATGAAAACAAAAAACCTTAATAAATAAGCTTTAAAAACTTACCTTCCTTAGAATTCAACCTAGACTAAGCCCCCCTATGCACAGGAGGATAGTTTCTAAAAGCACAAGTGGGCAGGGTGGTTGAAGCAACATTTTAAGGCCTGGTTGGCAGTGTTACATTTGAAGCTCGGTTTACTTTGTTTGTTGACAAGAAGTATGAATATGTGAACAGTGTTTTAAAAAGCAAAGTTGAACAGGAATATTCAAATGGAAGAGCTGTTTTGCATTAAAATACATTTTCAGGCCACCACAGAGAAGCACAAAACAGACCTGTTCATTATTTCACGTATCACTTACATCTTTTGCACGATATTCCTGGCTTAATATCTGCTGCAAATCATGGATGTCAGCAGACAGGGCTTTAAACTCTGCTTGTTGTTCTGGTGGAACAGTCCTGGAACAATGAGACTGATTTAGGTATTACATACACAAACAAGGAAACAACAGGTCACAACCCCAATAGGGAGTTTGAAAGCAAACTTGCCATCCACAAAAAGTTAACAACGGTCACAAACACTTGCAGACTACACCGCGCATGATTTGATTTATATAGGCTTTACAACTTATTCCCATATCCCTTTGTGCACTAGATTTCATTGTTAATTGCCATATATGATAAGCGCTCTATAAACTTACATAAGCTTCTCAACCTTGGTTTCAGCTTCTTGAATTGCTTTCTGCAACTGATGCTTGTTCTCCAAAGCAGATTTCTTGTTCAAGAGAAAATAAATTGTCAGAATTAAACAGAAGATTTGATACATCCATAGGAGTCAAAACTGCATTTGTTAAACTTGCATTTAGTTTACGGAAGAAGTTTACATATACACGTATAGGTTTATTATCATTGAGGGACACTATTGGAGCCGATTCTTTTTTCTTATAGAGGTTATTAGTATATTTTCTAAAATGGTTTCATTAGAATTCAAAAATAATAAAGGAGGGCTTAATCTAAAATGCCTGCATTTGTTGTAAATCCTTGAATCAGAATGCTCCATTAGCTTTATAAGACAGTGCTGAGCATATCCCATAACTCCTTGCACAGAGGTGCTCCATGGGCAGCAGAGGTCCTGTGAGTTATAGTTCAGCTGTAAGCCAACAGTTGAACTATAATGTCCAGAAACCTCTACTGTGTCCCTTGATGATCATTATGTAATTTTTCTTACTGGATAGGGAAAAAAAAGAAATCTACAAAAAAAAAAAACACTCAAAACAAAAATAAAAAGAGCATTAACTGTAATCAATCATTAGTGGTCATCAGTACCCATTCAAAAAGGAACTGCCACCTGAGAAAAACCAACAAAAAAAAATTTAAAAAAATCTTATTACGTTATGTTGAGAGTTTCTTCTTTTTATTTAATGTAAAATTCCTCCTAATACTACAGCCTTTAGAACAAGCATGTCAAACTCACAGCCCATGGGGCCGCATGCGTGAGTACATGCTTGGTGTTAAAGCAGACTAGGCATCTGCTTTCTCCACTTCGCAGGTGCCTACTCTGCTAAAATTTACCCAGCTGGAGAGGAAGCAGGACGCTGGCAGCAGCGAGGGAGCTCAGTCTCCCAGCTCCCTCGCACGCGCCGTCTGTAGTGATGCCGGAATATGACGTCATATTCCGGCACCACTAAACTGCGCGCAAGGGAGCAGCAAGAAGGAGATCTCTAGATAGATGATCCCCACTGGACCCCAGGGAATGATGTGAGTGTGTGCAAGAATGTGTAAATGTGTGTCCCAGTCAGTGAGTGTGTATGTCCATCAGTGTTGCAATGACCGCAGAGTACCTGGAGGCACGCAACGCCATGTCAACGTGCTCCACCTTCACAGAGTTTCAAGAAATAGCCGGATGATCCGCTTTGGCACAGGGGTTGGACGGCGCCATTTGGGGTATACCAGAGGCTGGAGTCGCATACTGGCAGCGGAAATCTAAGTGGAGTCTGCTTGTTGGCTAGAGGGGGATGCTTTTTTTTTTTTTTTTTATACTGTATTTTTTAAAATAAACCTACATTTCTATGAAAATTTAAGTTTTTTTTTGCGGCCCACAAACTTAAACCTTGTTTATTTGGCCCGTGCTAGACCAAGTTTGACATGCTTGCTTTAGAATAATTTTTTTAAAAAAAGTGCATTTGGTGCATATTGGTTGAGACCAGATTCTCTAATAAAGTAACTAGGCAATAAAAGAAATTTAAAAAATAAAAACCAAACAGCTATTACATTCAAACCAAATGTAATCTACCCTGAGACTAGAATTTCTGTCCAACTTGGGTGGAATTGATCTTGATAATGCTTAAAGGAGAGGAGCTGTTTATTGTCCTAGGAAAAGAGTTTTTAAAACAAACAAAAAAAGGAACTGTGGATGGCACAACCACAACATTATAGTGCGATTTGTAGTATCCATTTAAATGCATTTGTATTCTAAAACCAGTACTCTTGGTAGAGAGAATAGTATTTTTGACAGACTGCTTACAGTGTAGCGGTAATGGCAGCAGGTGCCTAGCAGGACCCAGGTAAGTTGGCAATGTCTTCTTAAACAGTTTGATTACTTACTCTGGAAGGGTGACGAGATACTCTTGGCACCATAAGTGCTACAATAGCTAGTGTTCGTGGTGATTGGAGAGCTCATTAAAAGGAGATGTTGATCCGCTCAAAAGTTAGTGTCATGTTCATAAACTTGTGAGTGTTAAACTAGACGAAGTAGGTCCTATAGGTGATAGAAAGCATGAGAACTACTTACAGGAGAGGGCTCTCTTGCACTCCTGTATCAGTCAAACCTACAAGGTTCATTAACAGGTTGAATAGGGGCCAAACCTTTATAAAATCTATACATTTACCAGTATAGTGCTGGCAAAATGACATTTGTTACATGTTCTAACATTACAACATAACCAACTATTAAACTTTAAAAGCAGGTGAGTGCTGCTCTCCTTACATAGCTCAAGCAGTATTCGTTGTAAACCTCCTTCCGAGTGTCTCTAAAGTGAAAAAAGTTGACAATCCCACTCAGGAGCTGCAGGGTGCGTTTTCCTTCTATATGTAAGATAACATAAAAGAGTGAGATACATGACATATCGAGCACTTACACTAATTCACATAGAATAAATAAATGGATAAACAAGAACACTTACTGGGATTCAAGACATCAGATGGTTGGAAGTCATGCACACGACACATAGGCATGAAACGCACCCTTGTTAAAATAAAATGTATTAAATAAATAAATAAATCAATCATCATATTACTTTCCAAACTCTCCCTTGGGTATATTTATTGGGATTTTTCTATGCTTCAGGACACCATCCAGTTATATAAAGAGGGACATTAAGCCAACTGGGATAGTATGAATATCCTGTTCTGGGGCTGAAAGACCGGTGACTCTACTTGTTACGATTAGAGGTAGCTAATACAAAGTTTATACCAATATCTTATAAGACAAGGTGGTACAATTATTATTACTTAATAAATTGTCAGACATACATACATAAGCTTCAAAATATTAGCGACAGGTGCAAAGCCTTCAAGAAGTTCTGGGTACTGGATTTCAAGATTCATAGGTACCTGCAAGATGTACAGTCATAATTGTTAATGCAGCATAATTAACATTGTATATGTAATTGGGAAATAGGAGGAAAAAAATAAATATGTATATATGCTAACTTTTCTATAAACAAAGTGGGGTGGGGGGTTGGCGGCCTTAAAGGAGCACTATAGCTACAGGAACACAAACGCATCCCTGACCGTATAGTGTTAAAGTCATTTAGGTGGCTTGCCCTCCTTTAACTTCAAGAAAAAACAATGAATATAAACACACCTTATTTTGAGTCTGCCGAAACTGACCCCGCCCCCGATCCACTCCCTGTAGCTGACATCAGAATTGATGATCTCAGTCAATCCAATGCTTTCCCATATATAAAAAGGGAAGAAATATATATTTGGATTGGCTGAGATTGTCAAGGAGCTTAGCCAAATCAGATTCTCCTCATAGAGATGCACTGAGTCAGTGCATCTCCATGCAGAGGGGGAGGCACTAAATATGACCCAGGAAGCACCTATAGTGGCCACTGGAGGTGTCCCTAGGGGGCAATATAAACACATTTGTCTCTCAAAAGGCAGTGTTTATAGCAAAAAGGCTGCAGGGACAGGCTTTACTCACCAGAACAACTACAATAAGCTGTAATTGTTCTATTGACTATAGTGTCCCTTTAACTATGAATATATATGCAGTGCAAGGCTACAAACACTATCATTGAGGGGAGAACTACAATTTAAATATTCAATAAGGAGTAACTAAATGATTACACACAGTAATGGGGGAACTACTTTCAATAATGTTAACAGCTAGGCTAGCATAACATAACAGCATGGTGGAACTAAACTAGGATTTTACTCAATATGTCCAGAGTAAAAAAAGCACTTACCATATAGAAGTGTTCCATTCCATAGTTGAACACTTGTTGCAAGACTCTCATGTAGAGTCTTTGAATCACTTCAGGCTGTAAATGAATTTAGCAGAGTCAGACAAACCATCTACTTGTCAGTTTAAAATTAATTTACAGGAATATCTGCATTCCAAATATGAACCACTCTCAATATAAATTATGCGTGTGACATATACCTAGGAAATTTTTAAATAAAGAGTTAGTTGTGGTTATAGGGTATGGGGTGGGAATCTAAAACCAGCTTCCGGAAGCTACATATTTGTCAGAAGATTTTATAAAGCCCTCCCCTTCTTCCCAGCCCAGACTTCCTAATGAAGCTCAATGAGAAGTCTTTGCAAGTCAAGTGCCTGTCGATTGAGTTTAGCTATACTAAACCAAACAACCAGGAAGTAATGGGACCAGTTTTCTGACAACTGCAGGTGTGTAAAAGTAGTCTTGAGAAAGTCTTGTGACAGAGACAAAAAGTGTAGACTCAGTGGACCATGTTCAGCTAGATTCAGTTGCTGTGCTTTATAACATCAGGGTAGCCGCGGTATTTTGTGAAGATACCGTCCGCGGCATTTGCTTGTCAACTCGGCACGATCAGGTTTACAGCCCTTGAAGGGACTTTTGAGCTTTGGATCCTTACCCACACCTGGATTGATATTTGGGATAGTGTGTTTGCTTTCTAGAGGACCTTTTTATTTTAGATCTTTTTATTTTCTTATACACTAGGTCAGGAGGGTGTTTCCAGATAGTTTTCACTATTGCAACCTCTCACTTTAGGCTGCTACGTGCTGCTTCATTTTACTTGAACCTGTAGCAAGGTTTTCTTCCCCCCTTTTTGGGAGATTTATTTAACTTATCTTGTTGTTAGAATTGCATGAGATTTTTTGATACATTGCATATAGTGATTTACCGTATATACTCTTCTATAAAATTGATCTCTTCTATAAGTAGAGTGCAATTTTTTGACCAGCAATTGAGAAATATGTTCGGACTCGTGGATAAGTCGAGGATACGTGTTCCCTTATTTGTCCCTTGTTTCGTCTGATATCCCCAAGCATTCGAATGGAATTGTTCCCTTCTGTTCGGTTACCGAACAGACTGTGTGGTCCCCTTTGTTAACACCTTGTAATCACTGACCACCCTGGCTGTTAACCACAAACAAGTATTCCCTGGGTGGCCGCCATTCGTATGTACGAATGCATCTTGTCTCCCGAACGCAGACAGCGGTACATGGTCTTCGATGGCATGGATCTCTGAGTCAGCAATGCAAGCCTGCGAACCCCACCCCATTCGACTTCCCGACCAGCTAGGAGAACGGCGTTCGGGAGTCGACATTTACAAAATTCTGTCGAAACTAGCACTGACCCGTGGATGTCGACTGCCTTTTAAAATTAAGTTTACGACTAAAATTTCTTGACTTATACACGAGTATATACCGTTAGTCTGATTTTTAGAGATATATAATTCCTGAATAGCTCTACATTGATTGTGAGAATCTATTTCTTGAGCTGTTCTTATTAAGCTGATTTCTATTATTAAAGGTATATATTTTTTTATACATTTGATCTACTTCCTCCCATTTATGTATTTGGAGAGCACATACAATATTTGAAGTTTTAAATCGCAGGAGATAAAGTTGCTCTTTTTTATGTATGTTGCTGCCCACTTTATTGAGAATTTTGGTCACCGTTTCACACTTGTATATACTTTTTAGTTTAATTTATAAAAGTGACAGTTTCTGTTGAAATCATACGGATCCTAAAGTTCCTTCCCAATGCCAGTGAATCCGGCTTCTAGACGCATTCCTTTACACACTTTTGGTTTAATTTAGTACAGAATGAAGAAACTGAACATGGTATTCAAAGTTTTATCACCGTTTCATACATGAAAAAATGATAAATCCACACACTACTCACCTTTGGGTTTGGATAAATATCAATTTTGCTAAAGTTTTTTGCTTCAGTCCCAGTTAGAATATTCTGACGGAAAAAGTTCACCAGCTCTATGGCTGGAAACAAAGGGAAGGTTAGCTTGTCCATATTGTGGGACTTATGGAGATGTGCCAAAAGACAGATGATCAGGCCACAGTAAATCCTGTAATATGGAAATAAAAAATAAATAATAATAAAAAAAAATTATATTTATCAGAAATGCCACTTCTGTGAACATTACACTATTTTTATTATTACTCTATTGCATACAGAATTAAAAATTACCTATAGCTTCTGTCAATGAATGTATGTTAGACCTCACAAACAAAGATTAGATAAATACCAGAGTGAGGTGTCTGGGTGCCTAAAGGGTTTATTAACAACATAGATTGAAATTTCACTGGTTATGGTAAACAATGTCCATCACCACATTGTACCTGAAAGAGGTTGGTAGAACCGCAAACCTTTAAATTGTACATAGCATTCTTCTGACACTGAAACTTTGTGAAATTGACACCTACGCTTGCTTGTTTTGTACCGTCACTCTGTAAACCACTCTTCTCAATAAAAAAAAATAAATAAAAATAAATTATACACACACACAAAACCAAGAGGGCTGCACTCACCTGAACATGCATACATTATAGGATGTATGCATGTTCAGGTGAGTGCAGCCCTCTTGGTTTTGTTTGTATATTGGGGAGTCCAGGCCAACTCCTTGGTTTTGCACCCCTCCCTGTTCAAGGTGCCTCATTCCAGGACCCTTTTTAGCTTTGACTTGCAGAGAGTCCCAATAAGGAAGTATTTCCTAAGTAAGTTGATTAATCTCATAAGAGCAAGCATTAGGCTGCTACTAGGATAGGACCTGCCGAATATGGGGTACTTTGACGTAGTTGGCAGGCTTATGCAATGTATGATCATATAATGCAACTAAACACCCATCATTTTTTGCCTAGGTGAGGTGTTTTTCAATAAAACTATTACAATCTCTAAGATTTGAAATCATTGTTTAGTGAATAAGCGAGTGCGCTGTATTTTGTGTGTGTGTGTATGTATATATATATATATATATATATATATATATATATATATATATATGCCATAAAATGGTAATCGCTTGGTTTTTCATACAGATATGATCTCAATGTAACACAAAGACTGCACTACATTATTATTTCCATTCAATGTTACAGTGAGAATAATACTATTTAGCTATTGGCCGATATTGATTTTTTTTTAGAGCCGATACAGATAATCTGTGAACTTTTTTTTTTTTTTTTTTGGCAGATAGCCGATAACTTACTGATACTCTGTACATCTATCATTTTTTTTTAAAAATAAACAATTTCTACACAAATCTGCCGTTAGCTTAACATGTTTATTGTTAATGTTTAGCTTTTTTTGTAAATAAATATTACATAAACATACTGGTCAGATTGCACTAAAACAATGGTGATTGTGTATATATATATATATATATATATATATATATATATATATATACACATACATACATACATACACACACACACACACACCGGTATATATACACATACACACACACACACACACACACACACACACAATTGGGGGGAAAAAAATTTTTCAGTCAAAATGTAACAAGAACAATGTTCAATTGCACATAGACACATAGTCCATACTATAGATTAAATCTTAGTAAAGGGACATCGGTGCTGGACCCAATTAAGTGACAGAAGGGGTTATTGCCAAGTTAACCCATAGGCCATAATGCAGAAAAACCATGTGTCTGGTTTTGCTGCGCAGAGCGTTGCCGTGGCAACGCTTTGACATCCAATGCCACGTGGATTGCGAGATTTGGAGAGAGGACAAATTGCATGCGTTTGACCACCTCACCACCGGTAAGAATATAGGCCGATACCGATATTTAAAAAAAATAAATAAAAATCACAAAAATTCGGAATATCGGCAAAAACGATAAATCGGTCAATCTCTAATACTATCATTGCATTATGTAACTATGGGGGCAGCTGCTACGACGTCTTGTCATTTTCCATAGGCTCTATTTATTCTATGGACAGTTTCCAAAGCAAGAGGTTTTCAGTTGGGTTATTATTATATCCTAAAAATGGGAAGTTTACTTTTATTTCCTGACAATTCACAGTTAGCCCTGAAAGAAAAGGAATTAAAAAAAATCATCAAGGAAGCACCCAAATGGACCTGCTTTGATGTTTTTATATGTAGCATATGAATCATATAAAACAATGTTCAACCGCTGCCCATGATCAAACCATACATATCCAGGTAAATGACAGGCCTCCTGATGAATAACAATATTTTGTACTCCATCTGTAGTGGACTACATTCTGCACTCAGCCATGGCAGAGCATCATGGGAAACATAGTCTACAACACCTGGAGTACCAAGCCTAATAACCACCTGCTAACCCCCTGCCTTCATACCCAGCTAGAAATATAAACACACAACACTCACCGTCTGCATCTATACCAGACTCAGCCGTTTACTTCCCGGGTACTTTTTTAAAAATTTGCAGCCGCGCCCCCTCCTTCAGCAAGACGCGTTTAGACAGCGACGACCACTTCCACGCCTCGATGTGAGATTTCCGCCAGCACGCGACGACCTGGCAAACAGTTTGCCACAACCAAGATGGCGGAACGCGTTCCTTTCGGTAGCGCTGAGTATTACGTCACTGCAGTAGTCGAGCTCAGTGTAGTGAGAGGTTTTTTGTTTTTTTTTACTGTGAGTCTCTGTCCGTGGGTACAAGATAGCAGTGGAGACAATATTTTACTTTTTACTTCTCAATATGCAGTGTGTGTAATACTCATTACACCATTACAATATTTATAAGATAAAAAGTAGATTGGAACATGTAAACATAGGGTTATACCCTTATGGTATTATTTCACTGGGGTTTGTGGAACACACACAGTTAATAGAGCTCTCCTCAGTCATTCTGGGGTCAGATTTCCATCTAATGGAAATGGCATGGGCAGCATTATATGGTCAATCAAGGTTGGTGACCGTTCCTCTCTAACCCTTTAAGGATGGAGGTCATTGTCCAAAGAAAACCTTTAATTTGCACTGTGTTTATGCTCCACTGTAGTTTGGGGGTTTCACCATGACCACATGAGTGATTTGAAGTGGTTATGGTGTTTGGAGTTTATATGTGCAGCGTTTTGTTTTGAATGATGCTCTCTGCCAGTGAATGGTGAATCATTCAACTTTTGCAGAAGCAGGGTATCCTGGCATCATTACCATTATAACAGGCTGTAGTTGTTATGACGTTTGGAATAAACCTTTAACTGCAGCCAAATAAGTCATACATTGTTTTGTTTGTTTGTTTTTTAAATATGATAGGGCTATTTTTTAATATCCAAATGTGTATCTAACAAAACATTTAAGCGGCTCTGTCACTTTTATGTTTACAATGGCATGTCTAAAATCCCTCCTGTTTTTTTTTAAATTTTTTTTTTTAAGTGATGTATATTTTCAAAGTTACACATATGGAAAAGTAGTGACTATTTTTCCTTATGTATAAAATTCAGGTTGACAAAAGATGGCGCTTCAATCAAACTTAAAGTCATTTGTTAAACTTTGCCATTGGATGTCAAGTTCTTTACTTACCTCCCACAGCTTGAGTGTTGAGTCTCGTAAAACAACGATGCAAGCTCATTGCAATCCTCATTAGGTTCTATGGGCAGGAGAGTGTTTAGACCGCCCTACGTGATCAATGACATGAAGAGGGCAGAGGTGAAGAATTCCATAAAATGCCATAAAGAAATTCGAAGATGGCAAGTCAAAATAATTTTTGTAGTTAAAGGACCACTATAGTGCCAGGAAAACATACTTGTTTTCCTGGCACTATAGTGCCCTGAGGGTGCCCCCACCCTCAGGGACCCCCTCCCGCCCGGCTCTGGAAGGGGGAAAGGGGTAAAAACTTACCTTTCTCCAGCGCTGGGCGGGGAGCTCTCCTCCTCCGATCCTCCTTTTCTCCTCCCCGTCGGCTGAATGCGCACGCGCGGCAAGAGCTGCACGCGCATTCAGCCGGTCGCATAGGAAAGCATTCATAATGCTTTCCTATGGACGCTGGCGTGCTCTCACTGTGAAAATCACAGTGAGAAGCACGCAAGCGCCTCTAGCGGCTGTCAATGAGACAGCCACTAGAGGAAATAGGGGAAGGCTTAACCCATTCATAAACATAGCAGTTTCTCTGAAACTGCTATGTTTATGAAAAAATGGGTTAACCCTAGCTGGACCTGGCACCCAGACCACTTCATTAAGCTGAAGTGGTCTGGGTGCCTAGAGTGGTCCTTTAACACTAACCGTATGCTTGCACTAACCTTAAACACGCACCTACCATAACATTACCCCAACCCTAATCCTTCAGTATCCCTAAACATAAAACAGAAACCCTTCCCATACTTATAAATGCAGACATGTTGGGTGAATCATTGGTGGGGGCTAGTTAATATTCAGAGGGGATGTAGACCTGTGGTTATCTACCCATGAGGCTTGGTGGGGAGGCATTAAATGTCATAAGAGATAGTGGAATTCCAAAAGACCCAACGTAAATATAAAAACTGCGTCATAATGAAAGTAATCTAACTTCACTCAGTGAGGGCTCTGACTCAGACAAGCAAGTCTTGTCTCTTACAAGACTTCCTTTGCAATATTTTGTTCCTGTAAAGCCCTTTTTTGTCACAAATCAAACTAAAGAAATGTAGACGTGGTATCAAAGCACCATAACCACGTCATTAAGCTCACAATGTGCAATGTGTCCCTTTAAAAGTAATCCAGTAAAGTAGAAAATTGTTTACACACTTACCGTAATTTTCTTTTTTCTAGCTATTCTACATAGCAGCATCACTTATTGTTAGCTCCTCCCCAGCTGTCAGGACAGGAATAATTAATCAAACAATTAAGAATTGACAATATAAGCCCCCTCACCACCAAACTCCCCAGTCTTGTTAAAAAGCAATAGCTGAGGAATTTAGTAGAGAGGGAACGTGATGCTGCCATGCAGAATAGCCAGGAAAAGAAAATTATAGTAAGTATGTAAATAATGTTCTACTTTCCTGGCCAAACATGGCAACATTACTTATGGGTATTACCCAAGATCCCATGAAGGGTGGGATAAATAAATTAAACAGTAGACCTCATAGATGCTCAACACACAAACGGTTTATTAGGTTCTTAGTGCCACTGAAGCAAGGACACTTTTCCCAAAACGAGATTCTTTAGAGGAGGACAGATCCAGTTTGTAGTGTCTAACAAACGTATGATGAGAGGACCAAGTAGCCGCCTTACAAATATCCTCTACCGGCCACCAAACTTCTGGTTGAATGTGGTCTGATGATGCTGGGAGCTTAGAGACCCTGGGAAGCATAAACTTTAGTAACTGCCAAGGAGATCCATGTTCTGAGCGTTGCTATGGAAGCTGCTTCGCCACTCCGGGTGCCGGATGAAAGGATGAATAGTCTTTCTGATTTTCTGAAGTGCATAGACTTTTGAGGCAACTTACCTGATCTAATTTACTCCAGCGATTTTCTTCCTAGGTTGATGGATTAGGGAAAAAATATGGAAGCACTATCTGCTGTTGAATGTGGAACCTATAAACCATCCTAGGGAGAAATTCAGGTCTAGGAATAAGAACCACTCGATCTTGGTGAAACACAGTGTATGTGTCAGGGGTTCTTACCTGAGGTGGGAGTCTGTAGTGCAGATATGTTGCTCACCCTTGCAGATATACACAGTCCAAGGTGACCAAATAAGAAGCCACCTGGACTATGAATCTGTGCTGTGCAGGAAAGGTGATTCCAATGCAGTACCGACAAGGACACAAAAAGCAGGATAGTCAAGGGATAGCCGAAGTCAAAGGATGCCAGAGGTCAGGATTAACAAAGTGTAGCTGAAGTCAAGGGATGCCAGAGGTCAGGATAAACGAAGACCGAAGCCGTGGTCAATTTGCAGTATAAGTTCAAGAGACTGGAACACAGGAACTGAACACACACAACAGGATCAAAGACTTGATAATGTTTCCAGGGAGGTGCTTTTATAACCAGCTGTTGACTGATCAATCTCAGGTGAAGCACAGCCATAGACGAAGTCCAGCCCCCAGTGTTGCAGACAAGCCAGACTGACCGTCTGGATGTCACAGGTGACAGTATGGTTCCACTGAACTTAGTGCCTGTAGCTCCAAGACTCTCCTGGCTGATGTTATTTCAATAAGGAAGAGTGTTTTAGTTGGCAAATATATGCACAATTCTTCCAAATACTCAAAGGGTCGCCTGTAAGGCTTTTAAAATCAGCGGAAGGTCCCAATGAGGGGTCAATTTTTTCGTAGTAGGCTTTTTCCTTAGAATCGCTCTGAATAATCTCATAATCACAGGGTTTAGAGCCCACCTGGTATAAGTTAAAGCAGAAATGGCTGAAACTTGTATTTTCAATGTACTAAGGCTTAGACCTTTGTCCAAATTTAGGATATCAGCCACTGATGACTGTTCATTGGCTATTCCATTCTCCAATTTCCAGGTTGTGAACGTTTCCCACACTTTGTGATAGGAGGCTTGTCACATCCTGTTCCTGTTGCGGATCATTTCTGTCCTTTGCTTCTGATATCCTTTTTTTTTTTTTATCTATCTGATATCCTCTTTATTATTCTTGTTTAGTTTTTCTTGTTTTTTCTGGTTTTCTATTCTATGTCTGTTTTTTGGGTTCATTCCTTTATTCCGTTCCTGGGATTCCCTGTCTCCTGGATCCCTTTAAATCAGACTTCCCCAAACTCCAGCCCTCCAGATGTTGCTAAACTACAACTCCCATGATTCTCAGACTATATTTTATTCATAGAATCATGGGAGTTGTAGTTCAGCAACATCTGGAGGGCCGGAGTTTGGAGAAGCCTGCTTTAAATGTTTGTTTTTTATTGCCACACTCGTTCCTTTGCCATTTATCCTTTTTTTTTCAGTGTTCCCTGCTGGCACTGGTCTCATCCCTCTGCTCCTTTCTTTGCAGGTAAGTACTGTGTGTGTTTTATTGTTGTACTTTTAGTCATGCATATCTAGGCAGTTAGGACCCACCGTAATTGGAGTACTTTGGCGCAGTGGTGGGCTGCATACATCTTGGCCATTTATGTATGTCTAAATCTCTAATGCTTATTACATATAAAGTACTTCGTTATTTCTCCTCTTGTTTTGCCTTGTATCTCTTGTCTTGTTTTTTTTTTTTAATTCCCAGTTCATGTACAGTCCATGCCCTGTTCTTGTTTCCCTCATGTCTTGTGTACATGTTCTGGGTTCTGCTTTCTGTCCTTCTCCGGTTCTGTGTTATTCTAGTCTTGTCTTGTTATCTTGTTTGGTGCCTGTTCTAGTTTTACCTTGTTTCTAGTACTGGATACATGTCTGCATAATATCAAGCTCCTGGCATCTGCAGAAGCTGCATCAGGGCCCTGGTATGTGGCGTGTGGTTACCTTGCACCAGACCCTGATAGTTCATTTCCACACTGTGACTCCTACCATCATCAGCATACGGGGGTCCCAGTCTCCAAACCGCCACCCATGACAAGGCTGAAGTAGAGTTCTTTCTTTATTTTAATAGGGTATTAGAGACTGACTCAGACAGCCCGA